CTTGTTAGAGAATAATTAGAAATTGACAAGTTGACACATAGCCTAAAGATAATTAGCAGGCAGCGTGTCTTGATTTGAGGGCAGCGTGGGTTAACTGTCCTGTTGAGTAAGAATCACATTTTGGAACAGCAAGTGCATCCTGACATCACAAGCGATAATAAAAACTCACGGTGGGGCGACGGTTAGAGATATTTGGAACTCACGCGTGAAAAGGTTAAATTCAGGCTGGTACACAACAAAATGTGAAATAAGTCCAGGTGTATGAATACTTTCTGAAGGCACTGTAGCATTTGATCACGTGCAACTACGTCGCTTATTAAAACATATCATCATGTTACTGCTGTTATGGACGTTATGAATGGAGACCATGCCAGGGTTGGGGCAGATTTTTGATTGTTTTGAAATACAATTTCTACATTCAATTTAATGTAAATTCACTGAAGTTAAAGCTGAATTGCTCTGTATAGTTTATTATTTCAAATATCATTCTACCATCTTGTGAGAGAACACCACCAGGTAGTCCTAGCTTACTTTCTATGAACTCTAAATTAGTTAAATAATAATAATAATATGCCATTTAGCAGACGCTTTTATCCAAAGCGACTTACAGTCATCAGTTATTTAACTAATTTAACTAACAGTTATCCAGTTAGGAGGGAGAATCCAACAATAGTGAGCGGGGGTCCTTCAAGCGTCTCATCTCTAACTGTTGTGAGCTTAATCCAACACGTTCAGGGGTGAGCACTCCAGGGAAGCAGGAAGATGAAAGTGGCTCCACTGGGAGCCCTCTCTGCTCCAGTTTCTTCGCACAAACTGTGCCCTGGTTAGAAGAGGGGCGACTTTCAGACATGATTTCAGCTGATGTCTAAGCCACCTGCGAAAACCGTGGAATTCAGACGATAAAACATTTATGAACATAGCACTGCATGGCTAAAGCAGATTGTATTTTTTTCTAAGTAAGCTAGAGAGAGAGAGAGCGAGATTAAGAGAGAGAATTAATGTTGGCTATAAGACAGTCCCTGTAGGGTTTTGTGATATCTGCCACCAAAAATGCTTGATTTTGCCATGGCTTTACTGAATTTTGCTACACAATTTGCAATGTTTCTTTGTTTTGATCATGTTCGTTTCATGTAAAGCAATAAAAATGTATGTGCTTAGTTCTAGTATGTTTAGACAGGTTGCCCAATTCTGATATTTTTTCCACTAATTGGTATTTTGACCAATCACATCACACACAAAAAAAGTATTTGGATCAACTTAATTACATTTTGGAAAGTAGTTACACCTAATGGAAACAGGCAATTTTTACATAAAATAATTATTATGAATTTACTTAATATAATTTCAAACAGTATTGAATTTAGAATAAATATTTCAAAAGGATTGTCAGACTGACTAAATATATTCATGTTTATCAAACTTAACTGAATCAAATACCTCCAAAATGAATAGATTATGTCAGTTCTAGCTACTTGACTTATGTTCGTCCAACTCAATCTAATTACGGAAATCATCATTAAATTATGTTTCCTTCCATCATCTTAATGCTTTTGGACGGTTTCTGTAGGTATGGTGTCTGGGAATTTAGGAATAAAGAATCAGTGAAAATACACATTTCTGTAGCAAAATATAGGTTGTATTTTGAAAGCAAATTCATTTTACAATCTCTCACACACAGGCATACACACACGGATTGGAAATGCATAAAATGGTACAACAATCAAAGGCTTCTAGCAACAGGCGAAGTGGACAAGTGCACCCTTCTGGGAGTTAAGGGTGGAGAAGCCGAGCTCTTTTAACTATAAAAAAATCTGTTTGTATCTGAAAACGCATGATACAAAACCAGTGCAACATTTAACACATGAAAACAGTCAGCATTTCACAATGTCTCTCTCTCTCTCTCACACACACACACACACTGTGGCCCAAACCCAAATCATCCCCTAAACCCTACGCCTTATGCACTTAAAAACATTTCCAAAACTGTCCCAAAGTCAGCACTTCACAATCTCTCACACACACACACAGGCACATTGTGTTTCAAACCCAGATCTTCCCCTAAACCCTTCCCACGCACTTGTGGAGATCTGAGATGATTTGACAGGTGTAATCAGTCTGGTAATAGCTCAACCTTGCCTCCCTAGGTGGAAGTTACACCATATTGCTTATACCAATCAAATCCTCTCAGATCTCGACAAGTGCATAGGGCATAGGGTTTAGGAGACAATTTAGTATTGGCCCACACACTATTGGATTGAAAATGCATGAAATGGTATAAGGGATATGGTGAAAAATTCCTTGAGGCATGCTGGCAACATGCAAAGGCTTCTAGCAACAGGGGGAGTGAACAAGTCGTACACTTCTGAGTTAAGGATGGCGAAGCCGATCTTTCTCAATTATAAACATCTGTTTTGAACATAACAGTGCTTTGATAAACGCATGAACAAAACCATGTCCAAAACTTGTGTCCAAAATAAACAGTAGGTCAAGGCACCGCTTCATTGCTGAAAATGGACAACTGAAAATGTAATTTCTTAAAGTAAAAGATTCCACCCACAAGGAAGTTTCTCATTAGCCCCGTTCAAGGTGTATGTCTGCGTCATAGGAGGAACGGGGTACACGAAAGACGTCTGGCCATGCAGAAGATCTTGATGATGTGGAATTAGACAGTACGTGTCACAAGGAATTATGGAAAAGGGGATACCTAGTCAGTTGCACAACTGAATGCATTCAATTGAAATGTGTCTTCTGCATTTAACCCAAACCCTCTGAATAAGAGAGGTGCAGGGGGGCTGCCTTAATCGAGGTCCACATTATCAGCACCCAGGGAGCAGTTGGGGGTTAACTGCCTTGCTCAAGGGCAGAACAGCATATTTTCCCACCTTGCCGGTTGAGGGATTCTAACCAGTGACCTTTCGGTTACTTGCCCAACGCTCTTAACCGCTAGGCTACCTATCATCAGTGTCACCAGATGAAAGGGACGAGGAGTCATCAAGGAGACAGCGGTGTACAATAGCATTTTCAAGGGGTGGGCAAATCAGGCAAAGAGATGACTTTGATAGTACCTTTGTCCTGGATATCTGCTGTTGAGGTCAAGTTAATGAACTCATTACCAAACTCACTGTCCATGAATTGAAGCCAAAAGTTGCCTTTCAGTCTCAACTGCTTCTTTATCTAATTTGAGAATTCATTCACAGATGCAGGTATTCCAGACGGAAGAGTCAATTGCTGCCAGTCATTTTCTCCGAAGAGGATTCTGAGCTTAACTAGAGCCGTCATTTTCCAACTTGGTTTGAGAGAGAAGAAGCATAGGAAAAATGTAGTGTCAAAATCATTCAAGCATTCATCTTTTCAAAGCCTGAACAAAAGTCTAGCAAACAAGCCAATACCAAGCACCACTTACTACCGTGTAGGTATAAGTGTGTGACTACATTATTGTAATGTAAATGTCACACCGACCTCTTATAAGCAGGTGTTTATGTGGACGAGCCGGATTCTCCAAGATTCTGAGCTGAACTGGAGACGATGTTTCACAACTTGTTAGGGTGGCAGGTAGCCTAGCGGTTAAGAGCAATGAGCCAGAAACCGAAAGGTCGCTGGTTTGAATCCCCGAGCTGGCAAGGTGGAAAAACCTGAAGTTCTGCCCTTGAGTAGTGAACCCCCAACAACTGCTTGTTGATTAAGGCAGCGCCCTGTACCTCTCTGATTCAGAGACACATTTCAGTTGTGCAACTGACTAGGTTTTCCTTTCCCTAGTCAGAGAGAAAAGAACTGGACAAATTTAGTGGCAGAATATTGAAGTAATCAGCACTTACCTTTTCAAATCCTGAAACAAAACTGCTGCAAACACAGCCTATACCAAGCACCCCACTCACTATTGTGCGTTTGTGATGGCGCTAGTGTAATGTACATGTAACACAGACCTTTAATGTGTATTCTTATTTTCAATGTCACCATCCGGTGTCACACCCTGATCTGTTTCACCTGTCTTTGTGCTTGTCTCCACCCCCCACCAGGTGCCTCCCATCTCCCCCCATTATCCCCTGTGTGCATATACCTGCATTTTCTGTTTGTCTGTTGCCAGTTCGTCTTGTCCCGTCAAGTCCTACCAGCGTGTTCCCTGTGCTCTAGTTGTAGTTTTTCCTAGTCTTCCCAGTTCTGACCTTTCTGCCTGTCCTGATCCTGCCTGACGTCCTGTACCTGCCTGACTCTGATTTGGATTACGACTCTTTGCCTGCCTTGACCTACCGATTGCCTGCCGTCCTCTACCTGCCTGACTCTGATTACGACTCTTTGCCTGCCTTGACGTACCCTTTGCCTGCCCCTTAAACTCTGACACTCTTACCATCCACCTCGTATGTCTGCATCTGGGTCTTAGCCTGAGCCGTGATATCCGGATAGTTCCGACCAAGTAGTCGGCCAATGGTACCTGCTCGATACTGCTACAGCTACACTTCCACATTCACTGGAAAAATAAGAAAAGGTAAGAGTGAAGATGGTCCACATGTCAAAAGCTGCTTCAACATAACACAATTAATAAACCATAAACTCCACTGGACAGAAGTTGAAAGACAGGCGGTCTACATTATAATTAAATATAAGAATAATTATTCTTACCACCACTAAAGAGCCATGAAGTCTGCGATGTTCAGAAAGTCTTCTAGAAAAAATCTTAAAATTGAGACATAAAATGAACATTGGTGATTCAAGTACGGTTTAGCTAGAATGATTATGGATCCACATGTCAACTACTTTAACACCACACTCAGTTTTGAGGTCTGAAAACAAACACTCAATTTCGGGTGGACTGTCCCTCCTATGTCTAGTTAAAATGGTAACAGTTCAGCCAACTCCAATTGCTCTGATTTAATTTCAATTGCACACTATCCCTAGCTAACAGGACACTGCTATGTGATATTATTTATTGTCAAAATTGTCACAATGCATAAAAACAACTTTATCTCATGCTTAGCCAGTTACATGTATCTGGAAAACAGAGCATGCTGACTGGCTGGGTGTGGTATTATTAGCTATCATGTCATCACTGAATATTCAGCAATGACGTTAGCTAGCTAGCTATCGAACACAATATAGGTTACAGTGGACGCCGCTCTGGTCTGGTGGAAGTGTCGCCACCGTGTCGGCTCTCCACAGCCGACTGGCCGGTGCTCAGCAGGGATCCATCCCCGAAGGGGTCTCCCCCTTCCCTGGAGAACGGAGCTGTTCTTGACCCAACCAACCAGCAATGGAGATACGTCACTCACCGTGGAAATCAAAGAAAGCATCCTCTGGCAAAGGGGGTTTCCTTGGAGATGTTAAGCCCGGACCTGACACAGACCAGAAATGGCTTTGCCACACTGGATCCAGAGGTCGGATTCAAGATCGGATCCGGAGGTACCTGCGTCTTCGTCCTCTGTTCTGTCTCCCTCTCCGGTGGCTTCTACCTCGGGTTCAGATCCTCAGAGCTCCCACCCTCATCAGACCGTGAGGCTGCCTGAGAGACCAGCACATTCAACATCACCAGCTGTCATCATCGACAGCTCTATGGTGAGAAACATCTCAGTTCCCAATGCAAAACATGACATCTACGACAGATACCGGGAGCTGACGCTGTCATAGTCCATGTGGGGTCAAACGATATCAGGAGGTTTAGCTCGGAACATCTGAAAATTTATTTTAAAGAACTGATTTGAGCGTTAAAAGACTAAAAAAAACGGCCAATTATTTCAGCTACAGTACCATCATTGGGCCGCGGGTGTGAAAGATTCAGCAGGCTACTGGCATTACACATCTGGCAAAAAGATTACTGTAGCTCTGCTGGAATCACTTTTATAGATAACTTTGACAGCTTCTGGAAACAGAAGATACTCTACAGGAATGATGGAGTCCATCCAAGTCATCCTGGCTCCTGGACAGAGTCCATCCAAATCATCTTGGCTCCTGGCTCCTGGACATTTCAAGGCTGCGTTGAAACAATTATTTATTAATGACCCAAGACCAGCTGAGTTAATCCCTACCATTGCTACAATGAGTCTTCATAATGCTGCATCAAATATACATTATCCTAAGGGCGTTGGCAGACACAATGTAAGTAACTTAATTTACATCCCCCTAACTGCCTTGAATACATCTGTTGATCCTACAGCTATTGTATGCAGTAATCATGAGCTGATGAGTTACACTGTTAGCACTGAGGCGGTGTGCCCTAGTAGGAAGACCATTGTGTGCAGCTCACCCTGCACTATCAGCTCCAATATAAATAACATGAGCAAGTCTACTTTTGATAAGCTTCCCAGTAAAGCATTAAAAACAATCAAGCAACCCAGAAAAGTGCTAAAAATAGCCCATATTAACATATGCAGCCTGAGAAACAAGGTCCACGAAGTCAATAACTTGCTTGTAACAGATTACATTCACATCTCTGAAACTCACTTAGATAATACCTTTGATGATACAGTGGTAGCAATACATGGATATAACATCTACCGAAAAGACAGAAATGCCAATGGGGGCGGTGTTGTGGTCTATATTCAGAACTAAATTCCTGTAAAGCTTAGAGACGATCTCATGTTAGATACTGTTGAAGTAATATGGCTACAGGTTCATCTGCCTCACCTAAAGCCCATTCTTGTGGGAAGCTGCTATAGACCACTAAGTGCTAACAGTCACTATTTGGATAATATATGTGAAATGCTTGATATTGTATGTGATATCAACAGAGATGTATATTTTCTGGGTGATTTAAATATTGACTGGCTCTCATCAAGATGCCCACTCAAGAAAAAACGTCAAACTGTAACCAGTGCCTGCAACCTGGTTCAGGTTGTCAGTCAACCTACCAGCGTATTCACAAACAGCACAGGAATGAAATCTTCAACATGTATTGATCACGTATTTACTAATGCTACAGAAATGTGCTTTAAAGCAGTATCCACATCCATATGATGTAGTGATCAAATTATAGTAGCCATCTCTAGGAAAAAAAAGTTCCAAAGGCTGGGCCTAATATAGTGTATAAGAGGTCATACAATAAGTTTTGTAGTGATTCATATGTTGATGATGTAAATAATATTTGCTGATCTGTGGTGTGTAATGAGGCGCAACTAAACGCTGAACTTGACACATTTATGAAATTGCTTATTCCAGTTACTAATAAGCACACACCCATTAATAAGAAAATGACTGCAAAAACGGTTAAATACCCTTGGATTGATGAGGAATTGAAAATGGTATGGTTGAGAGGGATGAGGCAAAAGGTATGGAAAATAAGTCTGGCAGCCCAACTGATTGGCAAATGTCCTGCAAATTAAGAAATCATGTGACTAAACTAAATAAATATAAACTATACTATGAAACAAAAATAAATGATATAAAGAATGATAGTAAAAAGCTTTGGAGCACCTTAAAGGACATTTTGGGAAAAAAGGAAAGCTCAGCTCCATCATTCATTGAATCAGATGGTTCATTCATCACAAAACCCACTGATATTGCAAACTACTTTAATGATTTCCTCATTGGCAAGATAAGCAAACGAAGGTATGACATGCCAGCAACAAAGGCTGACACCACACATCCAAGTATATCTGACCAAATTATGAAAGACAAGAATTATACTTTTGAATTCTGTAAAGTCAGTTTGGAATGTCGTGGAAAATTATCCCTATACTTATTAAACAACATTGTAGAATCAAGGTAGACTTTATTACACAAAGCAACAAAGCCGAGCTGGTCTGCAGAGCAACTGAATTCCCAACACTCGGCCCTCAGTTTATATGCAGTTATATTCCTATACATTTTACATACTTTTTAGCTTAATCCCTACCTGTTTAGTTCTTCCACCATTGTCTCCAAATATCCATCTTTTGACCGCTCCGCCCACTCTCTTAATTTATGATAGTGGCGATATCTGACTTCTCCTCCTCCTATGTATTCAGTTTTGGATACAATAGTGGCAGGACCAAGCTTTCTCATGTAAAAAATAACAGAGCCATCTCCTGGCTCTGTTTATTCTAAAACATATAAATCGATACTTAAACATGGTTTAAACATGGCAGGTCCATTTACTGAGCATAATTCTCAACAATATACAATAACATGCATAGTGTACATTTCCCACACATCTTACGAATGAACAGGCCCTTTCCCAGGTACATGTTCTCCATCTCCTGGCTCTGTTCCAGGCCTCCTCAATCTCTGTATCACTCTGTACCACACTCTGTATCACTTAGTCTTACTGGTTGTCTCTGTGATTAACTATGTTTTAACTTTATAGTCTAAAAGGATTTAACTATGTTCAACATATAGTTTTAATTTATAGTCTACTGAAGAATGTGTTTAACTTATAGTCTACTTGGGAGTCTACTGAAAAATTGGCTTCTTTCCTGTCTATCCCCATGTCTTCTTGGTCTCCTTTTCATATCATATCGGAACCCCCTTTTCATCCATACAGCCACCCTCCCTGGACCTTGAGCCACTATGGTTTCTTCTTGTGACTATGTGTTTGTAGCTATGTAGAATAATAGTAAGGACATCAAAACTATGAAATAACACATATGGAATCATGTAGTAACCAAAAAGTGTTAAACAATCAAAATATATTTTATATTTGAGATTCTTCAAATAGCCACACTTTGCCTTGATGACAGCTTTGCACACTCTTGGCATTCTCTCAACCAGCTTCATGAAGTAGGCACCTGGAATGCATTTCAATGAACAGGTGTGCCTTCTTAAAAGTTAATTTGTGGAGTTTCTTTCCTTCTTAATACGTTTGAGCCAATCAGTTATGTTGTGACAAGGTAAGGGTGGTATACAGAAGATAGCCCTATTTGGTAAAAGACCAAGTCCATATTATGGCAAGAACTGCTCAAATAAGCAAAGAGAAATGACAGTCCATCATTACTTTAAGACATGAAGGTCAGTCGATACGGAACATTTCAAGAACTTTGAAATTTTCTTCAGATGCAGTCGCAAAAACCAACAAGCGCTATGATGAAACTGGCTCTCATGAAGACTGCCACAGGAATGGAAGACCCAGAGTTATCTCTGCTGCAGAGAAGAAGTTCATTAGAGTTACCAGCCTCAGAAATTGCAGCCCAAATAAATGCTTCACAGAGTTCAAGTAACAGACACATCTTAACATCAACTGTTCAGAGGAGACTATGTGAATCAGGCCTTCATGGTCGAATTGCTGCAAAGAAACCACTACTAAAGGAAACCAATATGAAGAAGAGACCTGCTTGGGCCAAGAAACACGAGCAATGTACATTAGACCGTGGACATTTGTTCTTTGGTCTGGAGTCCAAATTTGAGATTTTTGGTTCCAACCGCCGTGTTTTGTGAGACGCGGTGTGGGTGAACGGATTATCTCCGTATGTGTATTTTCCACCGTAAATCATGGAGTAACCATTTCATTGTAATGTCTGCACCTGTTGTATTCGGCGCATGTGGCCAATGAAATTTGATTTGATTTAATGTGTTGGGGTGCTTTGCTGGTGACACTTGTCTGTGATTTATTTAGAATTCAAGGCTCACTTAACCAGCATGGCTACCACAGCATTCTGCAGCGATACGCCATCCCATCTGGTTTGGGCTTAGTGGGACTATCATTTGTTTTTCAACAGGACAATGACCCAACACACCTCCAGGCTTTGTAAGGGCTATTTTACCAAGAAGGAGAGTGATGGAGTGCTGGATCAGATGACCTGGCGTCCACAATCCCGACCTCAACCAAATTGAGATGGTTTTGGATAAGTCAGACCGCAGAGTGAAGGAAAAGCAGCCAACAAGTGCTCAGCATATGTAGGAACTCCTTCAAGACTGTTGGAAAAGCATTCCAGGTGAAGCTGGTTGAGAGAATGCCAAGAGTGTGCAACACTGTCATCAAGCAAAGGGTGGCTATTTGTTGAATGGAGCTGAAGGATGGGACTAATAACAACAACCAATAACAACAACATAACTAGTGTAAGACATGCTGTGTCCATAATAAGTATATAGGTTATATATTGTGAGCTTTTGTGAAAGAGCACAGTTAGAAAGATATGGCATATAGAAGCATACCAGATGGACATCATGAAAATGACCGGAGGACGTTCAGGAGTAAAAACAAACAAAATATTATTATTGACTGTGTCCATAAAATGTATATAGTATGTATAAGTATGAAGTAGAGGCCTAAGAATTGTTGTTCACTAGTTTACTCCAATTAGGGAAGGGATGGTGGGGTTGGAAAGTAATAAAGGGAAATACAGTGGGGGAAAAAAGTATTTAGTCAGCCACCAATTGTGCAAGTTCTCCCACTTAAAAAGATGAGAGGCCTGTAATTTTCATCATAGGTACACGTCAACTATGACAGACAAATTGAGAAAAAAGAATCCAGATGATCACATTGTAGGATTTTTAAAGAATTTATTTGCAAATTATGGTGGAAAATAAGTATTTGGTCACCTACAAACAAGCACGATTTCTGGCTCTCACAGACCTGCAACTTCTTCTTTAAGAGGCTCCTCTGTCCTCCACTCGTTACCTGTATTAATGGCACCTGTTTGAACTTGTTATCAGTATAAAAGACACCTGTCCACAACCTCAAACAGTCACACTCCAAACTCCACTATGGGCAAGACCCCGTGGGGTCAAAATGATCACAAGAACGGTGAGCAAATATCCGAGA